CATACAGGGAGGAAAAAAACCCAAGAAACAAGCTACCCCTGTAATTGAAAGGTGATTGCACAGATAACGTAAAGATAACTGCCTTGGCCTATGACATATCTGAACCCTCAATATTAAATCCTGCTTTATTGAAAGAAGAAGTTATGGGTCACTGACTCTATCTGGAGACTCTTTCATCAATGGTTTTGGTTCAAAATAACCATTCTTGCCAAATAACAATTTTCTTCTAAATTTACAATATTCAGACCACTCATCTAGAAACATCCTGTCATCACATATTGCACCTGCAAGGGTTAATCACCAAATGGAAGGGTACTTCAAGCAGAGATCAGAAAGCCAGGATTTAATCCCTCGCTTTGCTACCAATTTTCTCCATGGCCTTTGGTAAACACAATCTCACTGTGAAGGTTCATGCATCTACAAAAACTGGGGTATATTTAGCTTTATGACCCTAAAGATGTAACTGCAAGATTAATGTTCAGAATGCCACATAAAACGTGCCACTGATTTAAAAGATTTCCAAAACAAAATATGTAACTCCCAGATCAATCTTAATTGCTCACAGATCATTGACTATTTAAGTTTCAACATTTTTGCTAGTTTCCTTTCATTTCTATAATGAAAATTACTTTATTATTTCTACTTATTACAAAGTATTTCCTGTGCACTCCACAGATAAGTAGATTTGTTTTCTATACACAAATGCAGTATTGAAGACTTGACTAAGGCTACTTAATTTCACAAAGGACATGGGGAAAAAAAAAATACCACCACCACCAATAAAAAACACACACATAGTAGCAGTACATTCCCTTTATTAAAAACCAAAACTTCTTCATATCAACAACTTGAGAGAAGATACAAGAAATCTCCTACATTAGCCAGTTCTCAGGAGTCTATGTTATATGAACCAACATTACTACTGATGCAGAGCACTTTGTCTACAAATATGGCAATCCTTATTTTACAGAAATCTGGACCTCGGCTAAATTTAAGGATCAGATTTAATGTATGTATAGCTGGGATTTACAAGTGCGTTATTTTGTAACTTCTCTTTGAAGATGAGTCTTACTCATCTCAAGTTGCCAAGTTTCACATATTTCACATCTTACGAACTCAGTTTGGCTGAAAAAAAAAAAAAAAAAACAAACGAATGAAGTAATGCTCTGTGCACGCAAAAGGATTAAAATTTGGCATGACTAAAGTGAACAGCAGCTAACAATCTTCTAAAGCATTTCACACTGAGAAGTTTATCCTACTTTATAAAAATGAACTTGTATGAAAACTCCACTGCTATGAGGCCCATGAAGAAGTACTGTAAAATTGGAGTTCCTCAACATGTAACAACCTAGTTCTCCACAACTTCTAAAAAAATCTGATATGCTCTGAATAAATGAGTTTGCTATATCGCTAAAGACAAATAGTAACACATCCCTGGAAGCGATCAACATTAGTAAAAGATAAATGTACAAAGAGTGTGTTATTTGATCTCTCCTTCTCTCATAATTTCCAAGTTTCACAATTCTCATAGCATCAGTGACCAAGACATCGAAACTGCCATCATGTGTGCAGAAAATCCTCTGTTCTCTACAATAAGAGATTCTGCTTTGATGTACAATTCCTTATACATGCCAAATAGGCTCAAAGCAAGAGGCACTTCAAGCCACGTTTTAACTGTTATACAGGTTAGACAATTGACATCAGAATCCCTTACATGAGAATAAGAGAAAAAGGGCTGGGAACTCATTTTGAAATCTATGCTCAGCACATCCTCTGAATTATTTCATTTTTTTACAAATAAAATACATTACCATAAAGAAGTCATGGTCAGGATGAGAGCTGTTCACTAAGCATAGCATCGAACAGAGCTGACAACTCTCAAGAACTAAATGGTCCAGAAAAGAGCAGAAGGATCAGTGATAAACTACTGGCAACGAACAGCTGCTTAGAAACTAGAGCAAGACTCCCTAAGAATCACAGAATGGTTTGGGTTGGAAAGGACCTTAAGGTCATCTAGCTCCCCGCCATGGACAGGGACACCTCCCACTAGACCAGGTTGCTCAAAGCCCTCTCCAACCTGGCCTTGAGATGTTAAAAAGCATTTGTTTAACAGAAAGGAGGCAAGAAAATAAAAAAAGACAACTAAGCTAAGTGGTAGATCTTCAACAATCTTCCTGTCACACTCAGAGAATTGCTGCTGGTCAGTGGACACATCATAGCTCATGCTACAGCTACAACTGCTAAGTAAGTATGTACTTCTTACTTTTAAGGAAAAGACAAGCAGCTTAAAAAATAAATCCACAAAAGAAACAACAGCAACATAAAACAAAAGCAAACAAAAAACCCCACAAAGTTTAAAAATCCCTAGCAGCTGCTTTATTCAACATACGAAACTTTCACACATCCCCAGTTCTTTACCATTTAATGGGTTTTGATATTCCAGATAAGCAGCTTTGGGAGAATCTCAAGTGATGTTTATTCAGCACTCCAAAGAAAACAGGGGGAATAAAAATGGAAAGAGTAAGATATCACAAACTACTTTTTGACAGTTAATTTGCCAAAAATCGAAGCAGGGAAGTGTGAATGATTAATGCTAAAGAGAAACTGCTGAACGTTGTATTGAAAACACCTTCTTAAAGCACATGTTTAGCTGCTGTATGAGTTTCTGAAAATACTCAAGAAAACTGATTATTTATGTCAATAAAAGAGCTATTCTTTCTAGAATTTATAATCATGGTACTGCCTATGAAAATCCATTAACTTTACAAGTCTCCTGAGTGTCTTTAGTAAGTACACAGTCTAACTTTGTACTATGTTTTAGCCATGTTCCATGCAATTTTCTAGAAAGTTCTGGTTAACATAATTTTAAATCTTCTACCACTTAAAAAAAAAAAAAAAAAAAATTATATATGCTCCAGAAAAACTTAACCCAAATAACTTTCATCATATTCAAAGAGAAAGCACTTTCACATATAATCATTTTTAATCTCATGTTTTATAGTGCAAATGCCTTTGAAATATAAAGTAATTAGTATTTTCACCACCAGAAACAACATGTACCAAGTACTGTACCTTGATTTCCTCTGTTGAGATCCCATACACAGCTCAACAGTGAGCAATATGCACAAAATCATAATTAAGTTTATTACAAAGCATGTAATGCTCTAAGTACTTAGCAGTTTGATCGCTGGATTTTACATCCAAGGCTATTCACTATTCTTGTACTCTTTGGTACAATCAGACTTCTGACATACTAATGAATATTTATATAATAAATCAGTAGGGCTTCATTCAATTGCAAATACATTCCCATACTCTCAACTGAACCAAGTACCTTTATAGATTCTTCCACAGTGTTATTGCAGTCATTTCAGTTTCAGAATACTGACATAGTCTGAAATATAAAGACTCAGATAGGACTATCACCTGTCACATGATACGTTTTTAAAGCCTTCAAGAAAACAAGCTTACATTTTATTCTCACATTTCAAATGGAAGAAATCAGGATGCATTTAAGGCAATCTTTTTGACCACTGGGTGCCACTCTTGTTCTGCGTAAAATAAACGGCCCAGCACTAATGGTCTTCTCCATCTTCCCCCCCCTCCCCCTTTTAACTAATTCTGATTCTTCTAAAGTGGAAAAGATGGAAGAATTTTGACACTACTTTTCCAAACCCTTTACTATTGCTTTCTGCTCCAAGAATGCAATTTTGAGAGAAGCCAAGTGCACAGAGACCCTTATAGTATATGAAGGATTTTTTTAATAGTGAAGTTATGCAATAACCTTGTTAAGTTATGTCTAAATCATCACATTCAAAGGAACAGGTATCTGGTGCAATTGCTTAGCACTGTATTGTCATTGCTACCAACAGCTTCATACCAAGTTTGCAAGGCCTCAAGACTGAGGCTGTAAGCAAGCTCAAGTTAAGTTTGCTCTGTCCAAGCTTTTCCTGACCTGCCTGAAGTTTGTAAGTTTGTTTTGTTTTGTTTTTTTAGCTTGGTGCAGGTTTCACAGCAGTTTTTCTAACTGACCAGGTATCTGTAACTAACTTGGTTTACTTTTGTTGATCTTTGTATGGTACAACATAGTTCTACATAAACAAGAAGTTATTCTATGTAGAATGAGAAATTTATGACTAACACCATGAGGCAGTATATAGAAATACAGGCCTGGTATAATAGCAGACACCTTGCAAAGTGAAAATACAGGATATGGCATACAAAAGTACAGCCATTCGTATATTAGACTGTTAATATTTCAGTTATATTAACAATAAATTCTTGCTTGAATATTTAAGGCGAGTTTCATTCTTGTCCATAAATTTTGAGTGTAACACTTCCGTGCACTTCATTTATCATATCAAATAATCATTGCAGGCATATACACACTACAGCCCTACTGTTTAATACTATCCCTTACATTTCATAGATGGGAACACGAGGTACAGACTAAGAAGTGCTCACAGAAATTAATAAAATGTATGATGGAAATATCTACTCATCAGTCCAGCTGAGAAAATGGGGAGGTCAGAACAAGGCTATGGTGAACTTCACAATCCCATTATCCACTTCACCAGCCTTTAAAATGGTGCAGGTATCCTTCCACTGTACTGGAGCCCCAAGGTACTGCAGTCACAGAAGCAAATATTAGACCAAAAAATTCTCTGTAGTCATGTAAAAAGTGTGTCTGATCAGGGAGATGTACTACGTTATTTAAAGTCCCAAGCTAACAACTCAAAGATGCTATCATTATGCCTCCTATCCCTCCTAAACAGATACTAATATACAGACTTTCATGTCATACTATTCATTTAATCTGAATTTCAAACAATACAACTAGAAACCCCTTTTCCACTATCAGCTTTTACTTCAACAGATGACCTTTTCCACATCCCTGCCATTTAACTCTTCTGCTCTACAAGCTGTTTTGACAACAAAAGAAAAATGACCTAAATAGTCTCAGCCTATGCAAAACAGTACTGTAAAGTCTTACAAAATACCTGTATTCAGGCTGCCGACTTAGAGGATGATCATCCCTTGGCCATCTGTATCCTGATTCATCCTGCAAAACATACATACAAAACAACTGTGTGACATGTATCTTAATATGAGATGTCAGGTACCGTTGGTTGCCAAATGGTACTTATTTACTGCAAAACCAAAGCATTTAATGAGATAAAAGAAAGTATTAGTCATTCACAACAATGTTCCTCTCTATCCAATTCCTCCCATTTTCTTTGTCTGTCAATACTAAACAGAACAACTTTGCAATGCTGTACAAAACAAAAACTACAAAATTTCCAGCTATATATATAGGAATATAATAAATATATATACATAGGAATATGTATAAATATATCCATATTTTTTAAAATAAAAATTTCCTCACTGAAATGTAAGTTATCACTAATAGCTTGAAATTACAGAATTTCAAAAAGCTGGACTGGAGGAAGCAACAGTAATGACCTTTCAAAGAGACCATAAATTTTGTACTTAACTGTAGCCACTGGGGGAAAAAAAATGCATTCAGCATCATGTGAGAATTTTTAAAAGTGAACAACTGTGAATTAGAAGGACAGGTAGACAATATTCAGCAAGTTGCATGTGCAAGGACTTGTTAAATAGAAAGAGTTTGCAATCATTCTTTTATTCATCCAGGTAACTTTGCACTGCATTACTGAGAAGACTTCTGGACACATTTGTTTTCCCAGTTCAGACTCTGAGCTTCCCACGGAGTGGGACAAGGGCTCTTTTCTAAGTCAATAAAATAGCTAGGAATCACAAGAAGCAGCAAACAGGTATCACCATATAATCACAAGAATTTTAGAAGCACAGTAATTGCAACAAAGCCGATGTATTAAAGCCTGGATGTTTATTCTATTCATTCCATTTCAGTTTATGAGAACAGCAGTAACATCAATGCTCTGTCTAAAATAGTATTTTAATTGTTCAATATTCAAGCATTAACAAGAAGATAAATATCATAAACATGCAAGAAGAATCACCTTATGTACACCTCGGTGTGGAGGGCCACTTCTTCGGTCATGGCCAAAACTGCGACCCTCTTCATAGTCTCTGTACTCAGCGTGACCGTAATCATTATACCGACTGTAATTCCCTTCACCTGGTCTTTCAAGCAGTGGTGGTTTCTTCGGTGCAATGTTTACTACTCTGTGGTAATTATCCTAAACCACAAACCAAACAAAATCATATTGCTTTTAACAGCTGGAAATCTGTAGTGAATATGCAAAAGTAAAAACAAAATGTTATTTCCAAATATGGCACTGTAATAATCTTGAAGCTGAAATAGCACAGGGGAGCAAGCAACATTAAAAATCATGCCAGTCTGGTGGTGGAATAATTTATTAAATCTAATTGGAGAGCATTCAGATGCAATCCTAAGGCATTAAAAGTTTAATTACAGAGGGAAAATTTCTAACATGGCTTAAGTTTCTTTTCAAAGTTTAAAGCAGTAACATCAACTAATTTATTTTTCTAAGCATTAGCTACATATATTCCTCAGAGCCTTTTACGTTAACTTAGGAATTCAACAGAAATTACACCTCTAATGCCTGTAAAATAAGCAACCCATTTAAAAGTACTAACAATGTTCTTAAATGTCAATAACATCCTCCACACTACAGAGATTATAGAAAAGACAGTCCTTGCTTCACAATCTGAGTAGGTAAGCACCTTCTCAATACAATGCAGTAGGCAGTCTGGTTCAAGTGAGTTTTAGCACTCGGTTTTTCTTCTAATGCAAGTTTCGGATAGCTTTTTGCTAGAATGCAAAATTAATTTACTGTATTTCCTTCAAATAAGATGTCATACACCATTTACCAATTAAAGAAATCATAGAACAGTTAGGGTTGGAAAAGACCTTAAGACTGTCTAGTTCCAATCCCCCTGCCATGGGCAGGGACGCCTCACACTAAACTATGTCACCTAAGGCTCTGTCCAACCTGGCCTTGAACACCACCAGGGATGGAGCATTCACAGCTTCCTTGGGCAACCCATTCCAGTGCCTCACCACCCTCACAGTAAAGAACTTCTTCCTTATATCCAACCTGAACTTCCCCTGTTTAAGTTTAATTAAATACAAATTGCACAGTTGCACAAGAAACAAAGTCAATTTTCTAGAATCAATTATCAACTATCAATTATCAATTATCAACTATCAATTATCAACTATCAACTGCAAATAAAACACAAACAAAAACATGAATGCAAGACCTTGTGCTTAATGTCTTCTTCCTCTAGCAAAATAATTTTTTTTTACAGGCCTTAAAAACTCAAGCTATAAATGCAGATACATGAATTAATATGTGCAATTTGGAGGGGGAAAACATACTCAAACTATTTTTTTTTAACAGTAGTAGAAGTCACAATCTAATGCACCAGAAGTTTTTGTAGAAAAATACATTAAATTCACAAACTGCTAAATAGCATCATGCAAAAATAAGTTCGCTGTGAGTTCAGAGACCATCCCAACAAATTCACTAGAGGGCAATCCAAAGCCAGCCTACAGATATACCGAAGCAAAGTAGAGATTACATACACATTCATACACAGCCACACTGCTTGATCTACCCTTGCCTCACTGAACATCCTCCACATGTATATTTCTTCTCAGTTTGGTGTCTTACAAAGATGACGTGCTCTGAAGCTAAAATAAAAGTGCTGCATACTTTAAGCTTACCCAGAAGTCCCCATCACATAACTATTCTGACATACAGAAGGCTAGTTACAGGAAACCTCAAGGTGTACCCACTTATTGTTACTTGTGCCAAGTGCTTGCAACTTCATACTGTTTATCAGGATCTGAAAGCACGTGTTTCTACTACAATCTATACTTGATATACAATTAGCACCCAGATTAGATTAGGACAACTCTCTTGCTCTCTCAAGTAAGATATACTTCATTCTGTATCATTGGCATGCCCCAGGTCCACACGCTAGCCTGTCAGCAAATGCTAAGTGCATACAGAGATTGAATAAATCAATTTCACTTTACTCGTCTAGTCAAAATTAAGTCAGACCTCTATACATGGACACAGATAAAATGGTACAGGCTTACAAGGACAGAAACTGCCTGCCAACTATCTTGAATCAGCAGAGGTGTATGAGAAGGAACTTCATATCCACCTTTCAGTAAGGCAGAGTGACACCACATCTTGGTTTGCCCATCTACTGGGGGTATAGTTTTGGTGCAGATGGATGGCATTGATTGTGATGAATGAGTGTATTCAGCTAGTCCCTCCATCCCCAGTTCCAAACGCACGCACGCAATATAAAGTTAGCATTGAACTATCTAGTTAATTCTTCCATCAAAATGACTGCATAGCATCTTTTAAATTGTGAATTTTCCTAATGTATATGCCATCATTGTTCCCTGGGCAGCTTGGAAAACTCCAAGAATTTAGGAATGTCACTGTTGCAATGGTTAAACTAAATTATCAATGTACTAGTAGAGTCAAACACTGATTAAAAAAAAAAAAAAAAACCATCTGTGAAAATATATTCTGCCTTTCCTTGTGTCCTACTGCTGATAAATAATTTGGAGAAGCAGCTAAATACCCTATGCAAACTTGTCTGATTTCCTGTTTGCTGAAAAAGCAGGATTTTTGTTGTTGCCTGCAAGGCGAGTTAAAAATGTCACAGAACAGTTAAACACTAATAGACTACTCAATAGAGAAGGCTAGGTGATTACTTACCAAGTTACCAACACTGGCACACTTCCAAAGCAGCAAGCTCAATGTATGGTATTTAGCATACCCAGAAAGTATGCTAAATCAGCTATGCTATTACTTCAACATTCAGAATTAAAAGAAAAGCTAAAACACAGGCACAGGTACCTGAAATTTTATTTTGAGAAATGTACATTGCACAGCATGCAAACAGAAATACCAAAAAGTATTCTTAATGATCTACTTAAGGTGTAATAGCTCAAAAAAAAATAAATCACCCAACTCTGGCACAGAGGTTTTCTAAAAGCATTCTAAAATTATTCTACAGCACAGTAAGCACAGCTTCTGCAGTTGCTTTTACAAGCATAATATACAGTAGAAGTCTCCATGCCTATAAAGTAGATTTCCATCAACTCTCCTCTCAATAAGCATTTCCCTTACAAGGCTCCAAAACACGGTTTCTTTAGCAAGGGTATATTTTCAACATTTATTATAAACATTTTCTTCTATACTTTAAGTATCATAATAAAAACTGCATTGGTGACAAGAACAATACTGAAAGTAGGCATTCTACCATGTCATAGCACTTCAAAGATGTATTAACATAAACAAAAAGTCTAGGGAAAAATATAATATAGTATGGCTTTTGGTTCTCCAAAAGTTATTAAAAATCCTGTGTTCAGTAACACAAAGAATTACACACACAAAAAAAAATCAATACATATATTCCAAAACATTTTCAATAGATTTGGAAAAAAAACCCAAAACACAAACAGACAAGATTTTAATTTTGTAGGCAACCTATTATCTCTGTGCAAATGTATTTGCTAGATTGCTGGCTTAAATGAATGAGAAAAGAATGGAACTTGGGGTATACTAGGAACTTCAATATATACATAAATCCAGCCCTTATGGTACAAGTCTTGGCATAAAGGTATAGCATAAGGGCATAACAGTAAAATAAAATGCTACAGACTTACATTAGGATGCATCCTTGGAGGCAGACGTTCCCTTGGAACTCTTTCATAGTCATATCGCCCTTCAGACCACATTTCATCTCGTCGATATGACACTGAAGATAATAAAAACCCAAGTAGTCAAAACCAGACTCATAATGAGCAGAAAAAAAGGACAGTAAGCACAGAAATAAGGGTTCCTGGACTTCTCCCAGTATAATGTATTATGCATAACCCTGTACATAAACTTACTTTTCTAATTAACTCTTTAAAAAGTAAGTCTATCTATTTACAGAAACTAACGAACTCACAGTATGTGCAAGAACAACTAAAAAACTGGAAATTAGTGCAGTATAATCAGGATAATTACAGGACTGAGGTACTATAAACAGCTCCATTGAAATATATGCACATTGCAAATACCAGGTGTACATATAAATTCATACACACATACCTTACAGCAATTTTGATATTGCTCTGCTAAAAATAGAGGACTTCCTTTTAGAAAGAGTTCAAGTCCTGTTTATTAGATTGAAGAATATCTACTTTTTTAATATAATAACTTTTTAAATATAATATAATAACTTTGATTGAATTATTTCATCATCTCAACCATCTGGAAAGAGGCTAAAACACAACACATCATTCAGTTAGTACAAAGCTCCATGTTTTGAATACATAAATGAAATGCATTCTCCACATGCAGATTTTTCCTGTTTTAAACTGGGAGCTGGCAGAACACAATAATTCCTCTTTCCAGAGAAAAGTGACTTTCAAAGTCAAAATTAGTAACTAAATACAGGTGGAAATAAACCATTGCCATAACAGATTCTAGTCATGCTCTGTTAGACAACACAAACTTGAAGAGCTGAAATCTGATTATTAAAAAGTGACAGATTATATACTATACATCGTTGAAAATAGGAAAGAAATTGCTATAACTGTGTTTTTCAAAGTTTCCCTTCACAAAGGTGTGTCTAGCTATTAAAAATAATCAGTAAGAAAAAGAAACAGCAGTGCACATTCAGAAGGAGAAATACATAACATCATCTACTTTCACAAAACAAAAACACTGGATATTGACTTACGAGGTTATATAAAAATATTATTACAAATGTTAAGAATCAACATAACACAAGGGTTTATTTACTGTTAACAGAGGTAGCACTACCTCAGATACACATTTTTGTGAGGGGAAAAAAAAAAACAAAAAAACAAACAAAACAAACAAAACCAAACTCCTCACATACTTACTTTTCCGTCAGTTTTAGCAGCTCTGCTTCTGAATATCCATTCAATTATCTACAAAAAAAAAAAAAGAAACCAAGGTTAGCAAAAAATGCATATATATTCGTAAGTGCGTTTTTTTCTAAGTAAACCAGGCATTTAAAAATCAAAATCTTTCAACAGCCCCCCATGATCTGTTTGAATTAGTACAGAGTAACTCACTACACTCAACTAACAAAGAATATGAACTACTCGGCTGAATTAACAATATCAAAAACCTTGCCATGACAAATTGTTACAGATATAATACTTTCCTAATAAATTCCAGAGCTTTCTCTCCCTTTTATCATCTTTTACTCACTATCTCACGTCTCAGTTTTCCTTCCACTTGTTAGCAAAACCTTTTGGAAACTACTGTAACTGCTTTCTTAAAAACGCTCTGAAAAATATTTCATACATTCACTTAACATATTCATGTAACTGTCTTTGAATATCATTAAGTATAGAAAAATAAGACTCAGTTGCATGTGATAAGAGGCTAATGAAAAATTTGACATAAGAAAAGCTTTTCCTTTGTTAATAGTAAATCCTGATGAAGTAGCTTTTGCCTCAACTGTACTAAGCCGTCATGGTCAGAGATTTTGACCCTACCGCTAGTACAAATGAACCAGAGTATCTTCTTAAAATATTGTTCCATTTTATAACAGTCTTGTTATGTGTGTTCTGTAATCAAGACACTGCACTAGTTTGATGTAGCCACAGCTTTGTAAATCAAAAGCTGACTAAACCAATTGAGTTTGGTTGATCCTGGTTTTCATAGAGTAAGCACTAGAGGGTCTGTTGTCCCTGCCCTCTGCAGTAATTCTGAAACCATGGCTCATGTTGCTGTATTTGGTGGTCAGGCATACCCATCAGAAGTACCTTCCTGCCACTTTCACAGTAAATGCCTCAACTTTTTTTTCACTTAGCTTTTGCTAAATGTTAAGGGCTACACGTGCATTAACTGTTCTCAGGTCAACCCTGTGCTCTCCTTCCCATATCACCAGAAGGATACTCTATCTGCTCCCACACTGTCCCCACAATCATCTTTTCTTTGTACCTAGAACAGCACCTGGAAACTCCTGTGTTTTACACGTACCAGGGGTGGGGGACAGACTTAGCTGAAGCAAGACAAAATCATTACGGTGGCACGGCACATGTGCTCTTTCTCAAAACACTTTGCCACTGGTCCCTCATGCCCAACCTGTGCCCCAAAGTGGGACATTCCTTCTGTCCATCCCTGCTCAGTGCTGGAGAGCACCTGAGCCTCCCCTGGAGCCCACTCATCTCTCATATGCACACAGACACTGGAACCTGAGGGCCAGCCACACCCAGTTCTTAGACCAACAGCAAATACCCAAAGCTGGATTCAGATAAGGTTTTCAAGTGGGGGGTGGGTTTCTGGCATTTTTGATAAATACAGTATTGTCCCCACCCTGCTGCCTGCAGCAGTTCCTGAAACAGTTAATTGAACACAATGTTCAAAAAGCAACATGCTTCAGGTAAGTGCCACTGAAGTGAGTGCAAGCTTACACATCCTGCTGCTCTGCCAGTCAAACCACCTCCAACATCCCAATACACACCACCAGCAGCAGGCACCAGGCACTGACATTGACATACACTCTGTTATGTTATCAGGCAGCAAGGCTGGAAAAAACCATTGCAAATACTCCCATTTATATCACTGTTGGTGCACCTCACTGAAACTAGCAAGAATTATCACTGGTATTTTACAAAACAAAAACATAAGCTGGAGAAAAAGTAGAGACATATTATCAGAAACGTCAACAGACCGAAGAAAGAAAAAATCACAATTACATAGACAAGTAGTAAGTATGGAGGTGGAAGAAAAATATCACAAGTGAGAATACTTTGCACTGATTGCAAGTATTCTCTGATTGATTTTCTTCATTTCACTCCTTTCACTCCACATTGTGAGAGGAGTGACATGAAGAAAATTAATCAGAATCAACCATCAAGCACATTGCTCAAAATGCTGGTGAAGAAAAAAAGTAGGAGGAGACTAAACAGACAGGGACCAATGACATAGAGTAAGGATGCATTTGAAATACCGAAAGAAAAAAAGGGAGGAAAACACCTTTCCCAGGATCTTGAGCACACTTAATCTGTTTCTAATGAAAAAAAAAATAAATCCACTTCTTAAATGATATGACCTAACCCACCTTTAATAACAACTAGGAGAAGACTGAACTCCTAGGATTAATATTAGAAGATTCCATTAACAAGGATTCAAGAGATCAAACCTCGAGTTTACTATGCTGTATTCAGATTCATCTGTTCTCGCAGTAAAAGTTGTTTTAAAACAAAGATTAAAAAAAACAGATGTGTTTTTGTCTCACACCTAACAGCACTGTCACTCATATTTACTATTTTCTATTAGTATACACAGCAAAGATAGTTGATATCTCTTTAATATTGTGACATATAATCACTTGCTACATTAATTTAAACAACCTCTTCCTATTTTTGATCAGAGGTGACCTAAAGCAAGGTCTTTATTTTCCTCAAATAAAGACACTCCAGCAGATGTAGAAGCCAATCTATTAACACAGCACAAGCTACTCCACTGTGGCCAGCTGCCAAGAATGGCTTTGCTCCGATTATCTCAGCAATATATCTTGTTCTGTGCTCTGTAACTGATGTAATACAAAAAGGGTTTCTTCAGGCAGACTACATGGGTCACTAAAACTTTAGGGTGTTTTTTTGCAGAACTGGATCTTCTTTATCAATCAATCTTCCCCCCCCCACCAAATAATATATGGTAAAGAAAAATTTGACACATTTGCAAAAGCACTCCAGTATTCTGCAATATTTTGTTCACAATTCTTGTCTGTTTACACTTACTCAAGACATCAATTTTCATCGTGGCTAGAAATAGCTACTTCTCCAGGATTTGCAATTTTCCAGTGTGTGCTATCAGCCTGCTGCAGAATCTACAGTTTTGTTTCAAAACCATTCAGCTTTCTAATCCAGATGTCCACATCTTGCCATGTGTGAATAACGCATACAACCAACGCTGTGCTCTAAATGCAGAGGCAAGCAGCTGCCATATCTCTGATGCTGCTGGGACGTATCTGGTTTTATACAGTTACTTTGACAAATGTGGGCCAGCACTGTCTCTCCTCCGCTTTGAAAAGCTCAGATGCTTTTGTATGAGTAAGACCCAGGAGAAATGCTCAGAGAATTGTAATTTCTTAGAAATATCATGGTCAATTTTGCAACAATTGCTGCTTTGAGGACAAAGACAGGCAGAAAACACCACTTTTTCTTCCAACAACTAGAATCTCTATTTGATAATGCTTCAAAGGTATCCCAGTATCTTTTACCCAGACAGGAGGCAAGACAGATAAAACTGAGTTTGGAGGAACAAATAAAGTAACTTTTTCCTCCCCCCACGCTTGGGACAGGGAGAAAACACTGAACAGACATACTCCTCTATTGGTAAGGTGGAACAGCAGAAGTGTAAGAGCAAAGAGAAAAATCCACCGTGACAGTACCTAAAATACTCTGAGGGGGACACTGAAAAAAAACCAGGGATACAAACAGAATCCATCTCTTCCTAATAACAAATATTAGGCTGTAAGATTTTCAAAAGCAATTTAGAAGCATGTCTGCAACAAATTTAGGTGCATTCAACCTAAATATGAAATAGCTTGAAGGAAGAGGCTTTCTTCCAATCTTTCCTGATCTGTTCACAATTATTTGACTTAAAATAAGATGAAGAAAAAAAAAAGGGGGGGGGGGGAATATATTTAAAGAAGCACCAACCACAAAAATCAAATTCGATCCCATCTCAAAAGGGGGAAAAA